CCTCAGCCTCTCAAAGGCGCGGGATTACAGGCTGAGCCACCGAGCCCGGCTTCATTCCTACTTTTTATGCCTCATCTACACTGGTCAAGTGCTCCCCTGTTTTTAGGGCCTTTGTACTAGGGAACTGCCCCAGTTCCCTTTATTCTCCATCCCTCCTCCCACATACACATACACAACACACATAGTCTTGCTTTTTGCCTCAGATCTCATCTCAAATATCACCTCATCAGAGAGAACTTCTCTAACCATTCTCTATTACATAACCTTGATTCATTGTCTTCACAGTACTTACCAGAATCTATAAACGTATTTGTTTCCCAATAATATAAGCTCTAAGAGAATAGAAGACTTATTTATCTTTTTCACTGTTACACTTTGTGCAGATGGTACACAGTTGATCTTCAATAAATGTTGGCTGAATGAATTAAATAAATAAGTGAATGAAATATATGGAACTGAAACTCACCTTGCAAGGAAGATCTTGGCTGGAAAGATTGATTTGGGCATCTTCTACATGTGAATGACAAATGTTGCCAAGGAAAATAGGTATTACCCATGGGAAATATACAGAGAAAATAAAAGAGAGTTTAAAACAGAACCCAGAGGAAAGTGAACATTTAAAGGATGAGCAGAAGAGGGGCATTCAAAAAGGAAAAGCTGGAGAAAAAGGAGGAAGACCAGAAAATTTTCCCAAAATGCTAGATGCTGTAGAAGAGTACTCTTTATTAGAAAGGCAGATTGGCATTAAGGAAAAGTGTGTGGTCAATGGAGTCAGGTATATATTCAACAAACATTTATTTAGTGTTTGCCATATGCCAGAACTACACTAGGAGTTGGGATATCAAATTAATCAACAAAACAGGTAAAAACTATTTAATGATCGCTCAAAGAATGGTATCATCTTTTCTAAGAGTATCCTGAAGCAAGTTTTAATCTGAATCTGAATTATCACAATTGCTGGGAGGATTAAATGAATTCTTGTTCATAAAGTGCTAAGTACAATATCTGCAACCCAACAGGTACCCAATAAATCACAGTCACTACCACAAAAGCAATCTTCCTTTGGTGAAAAAAACAGTACAAAAAATACTAGCATACTAGAGCAGTTCAGAGTAATCTTTCTAGTGGAATAATCTGATTTGAAAATCCATATATATTGTGAGAATACTAACCTAAGCAAAGGGATGGAATTCTTTATGGGGAAACTACTGAGAGGCACCCTCTCAAGGTCTCTTCCAAGATTCCAGGTTGTTTTCAGTGAAGAGACAAAAGTATTTAAGTGACTTAAAAGTAGGTAACCAGGCTGGGCTCAGTGGCTCAGCCTGTAATCCTAGCACTTTGGGAGGCCGAGGTGAGTGGATTGCCTGACCCCACGGATTCAAGACCCGCCTGGGGAACTTGGCGAGACCTCATCTCTACAATAAATAAAAAATTAGCTGGGCGTGGTAGCGTGCGCCTGTAGTTTCAGCTACTTGGAAGGCTGAGGCGGGAGGATCACCGGAGCCCAGCAGGTCGAGGCTGTGGTGGCCGGGAGCGTGCCACTGCAATCCAGTCTGGGCGACGGAGTGAGACTCCAACTCAAAAAAAAAAAAGTAGGTAACCAGACTCACTTCAGTGCAAGATAATTTAGCTCTCAATCCTGAGGTATGACCCAGAGAAATATCACATGCCTGCCTTCTCCCTCAAAACACAAGATCCTTGGGCTTATCTTATTCTGAAACAAGACTTCTTGATTCTTCTAGAAGTAGACAGGTTAGAAGGAAAAGTACAGTATTTCACAGTCCAATTTGCTCTCATTTTATTGTACTTTTATTTTATTAGATTATATCCTTTGGTTATCCCCAGCAAAGTTAAGAGGTTTGCATGTTTTAAAATGCAGAACAGAAGCAATCTGAGTTCAGTGTTTCTTCAGAAACATTAAGTAAAAGAAAAATGCCAGATTATTTCTCACAGAAATATTCCAACAGAAAACATGAGGGTGAAATAACCCCAACCAATGGAAGCCCTTATCTTGCATGCCATGCAATCCAACCCCCAGTCAGAATGCCTCCTTCCTACCAACACACACTGCTTTCTATTGATTTCCCTCTATCTTGGTTGTTGCCTGAACTCTAGCAACCAAGACTTCAAGGATATCTTTCGGCAAAAGAAAAATTCTTTTCCTTGCTCTTCTCCTTTGTTTCGAACAGACAGCTAGTTCTTTTGTCAAGACCATGTGGGGAGTAGGGTTAAAGGCCTCCTGCCAGTCATACATGCTTAGCAAGCAAAATATAAACAAGACATATTCTAATCTGAAGTGTTCTAAAAGCAAACTACAGCATTTAGGATTCTAAACATTCTCAGGTGGTCTATTTACTAGAGTATATTAATAGACTAGAGTCTGCTATAAAAACTAACCAGTTTAACATTAAGGCTAAAAGAACATGAAATTAGAAGGTAAGAGACAGGAATTCTAATTATGATTTTAACACTATGCAATTGCGCTTTGTGCCTGTTTTGTCATTGATGACATAAGGTTAATAATAATTTTCCCTTTTCTGCCTTCAGCATAGGTTGAATTTCATACTCTCTATAGCATAGCACAATCGCAAAAAGCACATTATTTTTTCAAAATAATATACTCTTTTTATTTATTTATTTATTTTGAGTTGGAATCTCACTCTGTCGCCCAGACTGGAGTGCAGTGGCCACTCCCAGCCACTCCAGGCCACCGCAGCCTCGACCTGCTGGGCTCCGGCGATCCTTCCGTCTCAGCCTTCCAAGTA